ATTCATCATAAAATTCATACAACTCCTCATCACTGTCAAAACTCCCAACCATTAGCTTGTCCTCATCTGTGTCTGATGACAAATCACTGTCTTCATATATTGCCTCGTCCTCAGTTCCATCTATGGCATTTGAAATCTACAACCACTGTATAAGATGCACCCAATTTTTAGACCCCACATTTTTTTGAAAAAAGGTGCGTCTTATACATGGGAAAATACAGTATGTACTTCTGAAGCATTGAGAGAAAAATTAATAGACTCTGTCTTTTAAATACAGAAATAAAGTACAGGTCTTGGACCTTCATTCTTGGCACAAGGTTAATGCATAACAGTTTACCAAGAAATTACTGACGAAGCAGGTAGGGCTCAAGTGTCCAAAACTAACTCTTATAGAAAATTATTTTTCAAAGGAAAACAGTATCACAAATTTTTTATTCCTCAAAATGAGATTTGCATCCTTACTCAAAAAAGGGGGTGCCAAATATCTCAAAGGTTTTTATCCTTAAAAGGATAAAAAGGGAGTATCGAGGGCATATTAGAAGTATAAAGCTTTGCTAACACAAAAGCAATAACACATTTCCTATGAATTTTTGTTTTGCAGTTTTCATTCCTAACTTTAACAAAATTCCAATTCAGTTTGTTAAGATGGTGAAACTCTTACCAGTTTAGGTCAGTTCCCCAGAGACTCAATTATAGAAGTGATGTCGCTTTTTAGCTATATAAAAATAAACATACATCTTGACCACACAGAAAAAAATCAGAACACAAAGAGAAAGTGGACTTGGATTTTTAATTTTTTTAAAGATTATCTCTCTGTCTCTCTCTATATATATTAATAAAAAGTGCAAAGTATAGACCTTTATGTTTAAATTATATTCTAAAATATATATTTCCATTAACTGCAGGAGACAACTGGCAAGTAAAGAGCCTGAGAGAGTCCAGTCCCTCTCCATCACTACAATGGACATATATTTTAAGGAAGCACCTATGGAAAATAGTGTTCACAACACACCTGGTAACACAGATAGCTTCTGGGTGCTCTTGAAAGCAGTTTGTTTGCATTTTCAATCTAACATAAAATGAAGGGACAAATAAATTCATAAACAGAAATGACATTGCTTAGAACAATCTATTATTCTAATTCCTGTTTTGTACTCATATGTAGCAAGCCACACTCACATGTGCATTAGTAAAAGCTTTATCAGCGTGCCTCCAAGGGTGATCAGGTCCTTGTGCAACAAGTGTTCTCTGCTTATTACACTGATTTAGCAACATAGCTGAAACATGTGGTTAGAATTGAACTTTTCATTTTTTGTAAGTAAACAAAATTTTAAAACATAGCATAACACTGGGCTCTGTTACACATAGCTCATGTTTTGGGTTGATTTTCATCAAAAGGTTTTAAAGAAACAAGAGGTTACATAATATCTGCTGCTTTCTTATGTATTTATGGCAATAGTGGCAATAGGTTGCAGACACAACAGAAGCTTTTAATAATAAAAATGATATATAACTCAACTTTTTTTTTTCTTTAAAGCATTCTGGAATATTTTAACAATTCAAATTTGAAAACTGACTTCTATTGTGGCTTCAGCAGCTACATACGTGCCTACATGTAGAAAGGGTTCCTTGGTTTTGATTTGGCTTTCTTTACTTATTCCTTTCCTTTTTCATAATTGAAAAGAATTTCTATTTCAGAAAAGTTATGTTCTATACACTGTGCCTATAGCAATAAATCTGTAGTACTGGCTATTACAGCATTTTGCCTCATAAATGTCAATAATGCTCTCATTGAATGTAGATGAAGTCAATGTTAATATACAGATATGCTGCAGCAATCAATTATGCATAACTTGTAGACTCAAAGGTCTGTGGTCTCTTCTCTCCTTCTTTTTGGCCTGTTATAAAAATAATTTTTGTTAAAAGTGTCTACACAGCACCAATTTTATGTCAAAATCAGTATCTTTACTCAGCCACCCAAATTAATCCATAAGTGCACATGTTCAAATAGCTTTCCTTATTTACTTCTGTAACTCTAAAAGACCAGTAATTGTATTAGATTTTGCCTTAATCAAAAATTATTCAGCAATTATTAAAACCATCAATTACAATGCCCTAAAAATACCCACGTCCATGGAATAAAATAAGTTCCCCTGACATGCAACTGTGTAACAGAAGGATTATGCCTGCAGTTGGTGGACACTGTGGTCTGTAATAACAGAAGGAACTGGTCTCTAATAGTAAAAAAGCATTTCATAAAACTTTGTCATATATATAAAATATCCTATTAATTGTGGCCATTCCATTTATGATTAAAGCATAACATAAGTGTTCGTTCTGCTTTCTGCTGTGCGACAGTCAGGGGTCATACCTCAAAAAAAAAAAAAAAAAGACTGCATCTGTTTCCCAGGCTGACAAAAGCAATGGGCTTAATTACATTGTTTCTCTCTCAAATTTGGCTGCACTCATACAAAGCACCCACAGCTTTAATCTTCGTGGCACTGTGGCCACACTTTTTTCCCACTTCCAAATATAGGTCAGGAAAATGTGATTGAAAAATAATTATTCTTGTCTATATGCAGCCTGGATTGCCACTGCTCATTTTTACGATTTTGAAAGATAAAGTCTGTGGCAGAAGGAAAATAGGCCTCATTCATCTTTCTCAAACCCTTTGGTTTCCACCTTTAATGTTACAGTGAATATAGATTTGACTCAGTAGGCCTGGGTCAAGGCTTTACAAATACTGAACCTGAAGTGCATTAAGAGAATAAACATCGGCTATTATGGCATAGGAAAATTTAAAAAGTAGTAATAATAAACACAACACCAGATACATGAAGAATTTACAAGTCACCTAAAAATTTCATAAGAAATTAAAGAATTTGTAGGAGCAGTGGAATCATATAAAAAGGGCAAAAGGTCAAACACAATCAAATAATGGTTACATTCTTTGAAAAATACTTCATGTGCACACCTGCCCCAGTTAGGCTGTCTTTCTTAAGTCTCCCATCTGTAAACATGTGGGCCACAAAAGACATACATTAAAGAAAGAGATTGTATTAATTAACAGAGGAATAGAAGAACAAACAAAGATTTCAGAGCAGGTAAGGAACTAGCTTTTAAAGAAAAGTGCTTCTGCAAAAAGTATGACTTGGAGGCAATTCTGAAGTTTTGACACATACTTTACTCATAAATTAGAGTTGTTCTTCTGTAGGGGCAACTAAATCGAAATATGAAACAAAAAGAACTGTTCAATTACGACATCACAAAATCCCAGGGAAGAAATGGGAATCAAAGTTCCCTTTGATGAAAATTTCCCACTTTTAATGCAAAATGCCAGAACAAGGTCTTCAAAGATGACACAAGCAGAGAAATCACAATGCTCTCCCATATTCTCCCCACTTCATTCCCTCACACATGGTTTATTAGTTAATTCTCAACTCTCCTGGCACATATCCATTATTCTATCGGATTCTTCATAAACTCAGGCCTCTATTCCCAATAGTTTAAAGTAATGAAAATGATAGATGTAAGGAAATATAACCAATAAGCAAAAATAAAAGAACTCTGGAATCCGCCATATTCCATGTTATGGAAGTAATGGTTGATACAATATGTGAGGAACATTAAAAGTGAGATAGTTACATAAAGAGACATCAGACTGTTCTGCCTGTGCTTCCAGAACAATAGCAAGTTTTCCTAGAGTTTTCACTCTCCATTTACTCTTCTTCAAAATCCTAACAGTTATTATAGGTTCTAACTGAGTGCCTACCTGAGATCAGAACCAGGTTGAAAATGGTTAAAACATTTTAAATTATTTCAAAAGGGAGAAATGAAGAAAAAAATCACCCAAGTTGAGAAATAAGAATTATGGACTGAATGAAACTATTAGTCAATATGTGCTGACACAAGTCAAAATGAAAACCAACCAAAAAAAAGGGAGGAAGAAGGGAGGAAAAAAGAGGAACTAGGAGAGAAAAGTGCTGGCCCTTCTTGTAAAGATCCTTGTTTCCTGATTTAAATACTATAAGATGCCCTTCTGAGGGGGATGCACTGTTCATGCTATCTTCACAAGTATACCTAACTGGTAATGATAACTAAGCAGTAGGTAAATCCCAGTGAACACAGTAAGAAGACGGCGATTTCTTAGTCATTTTTCATGAGTGAGGGAACACGGACTAGAGGTATGGCCAATTCTGCTGGCTGAGCCGAAGGAATCTTGGTAAAAAAACAAACAAACCCAAAACAGCCCCCTACAGATTCTAGCAGGAAAAATATACAACCTACCCCCAAACCTAAATAAAATAAAACAAAACAAAACAAAACAAAAACAATCGTCGCCCTCCTAAAGAAAACCACATGGAAACAAATGCCCTGCAAGAAGTTCTTATGTGTGTATTTTTACAAGTCTGGTAGAGGTTATTTTGTTTTGGATTCCACATAAATTTTATCTCCATCCCTAATGCCAAAGGAATGCAATGCCCGAGAACTATACTTCATTTCCTCTGGGCCAAAGGGTGCCTCGTGGTCAAAATGGTAGAGAAGCATGTTGCTTGTGGGTAACTGCACTAGAGTTTTTAATTGTTTCTTTAGTTCTGCAACTGTTTGGTCCAGACGAATGCTGATTTCTTCCACCTGATCGTTAAAGTGGACTTCTACTTTGGCACTGCTCTGGGGTCTTAGATCCACTTCTGCCAAAGGCTCCAACTTTCCATACTTTGTGATCAATTCATGATACCTAGAAGGATAAAAAGACAGTGTCAGCTTAAGCTACTAGCAGCTGACCTATGGACTTTTTTCAGAACTACAGGTACATTACACTGCAATACTCAACATCTTTCTAGTATCCTATTCTAATATTCTATCTAGCTGATGACTATTGTGGAATCGGAAATCTGACATAGATGCCCTTTTGAGAACACAGTAAAACCACATCCTTGTGGGTAGGAAGAGTTTGTCCTAAAAATGGTCACCATGCTTGCTGTTAATCATTATATAAGAATAGGCTTAGAGAGGAAATAGAACCTAGAAAAGTAGACACTACAAAGATTATAGAAAGAAGTCAAACTTGCAGAACTTGCGTTCTTGGGTATCATCATCAAGAAGAGCAGAGAAGGGCGGGCAGAGTGGTGCGATGGTTAAGAGCTGGCTTGGGACGCCAGAGCGCCCCGGTTCGGATCCCACATATGAAGGCCAGTGACACTGCCCTCCACAGCTAAGATGCTGAACAACAGCTCAACCTGGAGCTGGGCTGCCGTGAGTCGCCAGCGACGGCATAG